AATACAAACTTACCAACCTAACCAATACTGTGAATTCAGATGCATTTGGTAGATTGGTACACTATCAAGGCAATGTTGTTTGGTGTGATGTGCTTGTCATTACTTTAATGAAAAGCCTGCTAACAGCTGGATTAGGATGAAAGCATCATCTTAAAGTGGCAGTTGCCCTTTCATGTCAACTATTGGCCTCTTTTCCCCTTATTAATTGATTCATGAAGAATCAATTGGGTGATGACCCTCCTCCACTTTGGTTGTGTTGTGTGCATTATTCTTCATGTTTTATATATATATATATATATATATATATATATATATATATATATATATATATATATATATATATATATTTGTGTGTATGTATGTATATAAAAATTATCGAATAATCAACACCTACTTAAGATAAAATAATAATAATAATAATAATAAATATCATATCTCTTATATATGAAAGTCTAATAATCAATAATATTATCAAAAGAAAAATTATCCCTCATATCAAGTCAAAAATATTATTTTCATCGAAATCCGAAATTGATCGTATATTTGATTTGATATGATTGTAATTTTTTTTTTATCTTTGTACTTAAGTCTATAAAAAGAAGTTAAAACATTGTAATATATTAAAAGACTGATGTATGAGTGATGTGAGGTAGGAGTTTACCCCTTAATCAAAGTGTGTATAGTAATTATAAAATTTTTAATTATCTTTATTATTATTATTTTTTTTTCTTTTTTTCATCTCTTTATCACCAAAAAAAATTCTGCCTTTTCTCATTCTACATGAGAACCTCGTCCAATTTCTTATGAGTCTCCTTAATTTTGGATTGGATGTCCTTAATCGAATTCTTTTTTCCTCTTTAATTTTGATAAAGATGAATCAAGACTGATGATGAGTTTGTCGGATTCGACCGAGAAAAATTATGAGCTTATTATAAGATTAGTCAATTTGGATCGAAAGATCGAGCTATTAACTATGACTGACAATCGTAGTTACCAAACTCTTAGATTAGGTGATCAGTAATTCGAAACGATTAAATAATATAAAAATTCTAATATATATTTAGGTTTTGATTTAAGATAAATGAATAATTCATCTAATCGATAAGTAATCATCCAACGGACTACAGTTGACCCATTCGACTTCCAAGTCAAAAAGGAGGAGGTGAGAGGTGCCTTTCAACTGCTCGATGATTCCTATCGCTACTGCAACAAGATTGCTCCCAGAAGGCCAAGCTAACACCACAAAACACAGCCCAAACAGGCCTCGAACTCTGTTCCGTCGGCAGAGCTGCATCACTCACCTCGGACTCCCCCATTTCCTGCTGCAAACTTCTGATGTCATTCGTGCATTGAGCTCATTGATTCATGGCGAGAACCAAAAAGGGGGAGGAGAAGGTGGGCGACGTATAGCGAGAACAAAGCCGCGCGTCGAACACGCGTGAAAGAAACCCAAACGAAGACGCCACAGCTCGCGCTTTCTGTGGCAAGCGGGTTCCCATTTTGGGTGCTTCGTTCGAATCTGTGAACAAAGAGATCACGTCGGATGTGCTTTGAGATTCGCGCGGAAAGCGATGAACGGCTGGTCGGTCGGTCGGTTCATTTGTGGTGCTTCTTTGGAGTCCGTAAAGAAAAGTATCGCGTTGGATGTGCTTTGAGATTCGCGCTGAAAGCGACGGACGCTTGGAAGGTACGAGTAACGTGGACGTACGGGGGAGCGGGGCCCGCCGCGGGAAAAAGGTTCGGAGATCACGCGTCTCGGCCAAAGATCACCCACGTGTCGCGCGGCCGGTTGCGGGGTCCGGGCGCGGGTGTGGTTCGAACGTCGCTTTCCGATAAGGATTTGGGGGTTCGCGCGTAAAACATTTAACGGCCGGGCGTCGATGGGAATCGACGTAGAAGTGCTTCGATTCTCAAATCTTAGCCGTTCATCGAGTCACGCTCCGAATAGATTTCTACTTTAAGATTCGGGAGCCACTCATGCCGACAGACGCTCGGGAAATAGAAGCCGCCTGATTTCCATACGCGGAAACGTATGGCTCGACGATGCAAATTTGACCAATGCATGATCGGTGGAGGCGTGTGTGCACGTCATCTTCGATCACCGGTGGATTGATGTCTCCATGATGGTTGTTATTTTGTGATGGACGGTGATAGATTTGATGTATGCATGCAAGTAGGACGTGCACGGGGCACGGTTTGATTGGGAGATGTAGACACTTCCAACTTATTCATGTCCGATTAACGATTTGTTTGTGAGTGACCTATTAATTGGTCACATTTTTTTCGTGAAATGTGTTGGATTTATATTATTCTGGGTGGAACAAATTATATTATATCTAAATCTAAAAAGGTCCTTTGTGTTAGAGAATTTTATGACTCCAAATTTTTAGTATTATTTAGATAGAATGTCGTTACCTATTGTCACTAAGAAATTAAAAAAAATCATAGAAATAAAAGAAAAAAATTGATGTAGAAATAACTTTTCAAAGGAATGCGACTAAATAAGAATAAAAGAATATACTGAAGGAATATATCGAAGACGACTCTTTTCCTTTATTAAAACGAAATAAAAGGATTCGAACAAAATAGATAAGACGAAAGAGTACGAGTGAATGAAAAAGAAAAAAATAAAACATAAATTCTACTTTCACTCCGTAGACATGCGGAATTGAATAATCTACCATAGATCAACATCTTAAATATCATACAAATAAGTTTAGTGACTTGGGTTTGAATATTTATTTATTTATTTTTTTATCGATTAGAATTAGAATCGACGACTTTAGAACGGTTACCATTTTCGGCGAAACCAGAATCATCGAATTCAAAACCTAAGAACATAAAAGATCTGTAAAGGGTAATGTAGGGAAAAGCCATAATGCGAGCTTCCCGGGATTTGCCTGAACTGCATGCTTCGACTATGAAAGCTCTTCCCACCCCATTCATTGGACATGATTGGGAAGGGAGCATTACCTTAAAAGATGCCTCTCTTTCCATGGGACAACGACCCTACCAAGTGTTAGAACTTGGGACACTGTCCCTTTGCGGTCGTTGTGGGTGTCTCTCCTACTACTGAACTCCCTCCTCCCTCTTGCCTAAAGGCCGGCCATCTTCTTTGTTCCTTCCACACGTCAGGTGCCTCTCATTGGGTCCTCGAAAAGGATGAGAGGGTCCTCCGCACTTAGGGTTTCATGTCTTTGGGAGATCATCCTCCTCCTCCATTTTATTGCCCCTTTGCGTGCTTCCATGCTTCAAGCAACAGTAGATGACAGCGATATATATGTCTCTAGCAATACATACGCAGTGATCGGACGACAGACATGCATGCATGCATGCATCGTCCATGTATGCAGGCAATGTACCGAGACGATGAAGGTTGAACTGAAGCTTTGTTGCGTGGTGGCCTTCCGAGGAGAGGACCACTGAAGTGTCATGGTCGGCATTAATCAGCAGACGACAAGTCGATGGCGACCACACCATTCTGCCGAGGGTTAGGGAAGGAAATGATTAGCCGTAGGACCAGCAGGCAACGCACAGAATCTTTTGGTAGGGAAGAAGAGGATTAGCTGACACTTTCGATCCATCGTATATATACTTCTCGTGAAAGATCTGCTACTGCAGCAGCATATCCGAAGCTGCCATACGATATTGCACAGTAATTAACCCGCACCGACGATACTTTCCACTAACAAAGTAGATTCCGAAGCTTAAAATCTCGTTAATCCAATAATGGTGGAGTGAGAGATAGAAAGAGAAGTACGAGGCGTGAAAGCGAGCCTCGTGACCACTCCACCCAGACTTTTCTCCTTCTCCTTTGTCGGCGGAGAACACACAGAAAAAGACCAATGATTTCCAATAGATCCTCTCCTCCTACGATAAAGAATTTGTTTATTAAGTATAAAAATACTTTTATATAAAAAATAAAATACTTTTATTTTAGATTTTTGGGTATCGATCTCTTTTCCCACACAATAATTACTCGGCCGCTATTTTGGTGCTATAATCCAAATTAGACGTAAATAAAAGATTCCGCTGAATCTTTTGCCAACACACGATCATTAATCATTAATCATGCACACAGATGGCGGAATTGGCCGCAATTGGCAACACGATCGTCGCGATCACAGCCGTCCGATGATGGTTCTTTCCGTGGGGGTCGGGTGGCTCGGGCTAAGTAGTGACCCGAACGGATCAACATCAAGAAGCACGCTAAGATTAAAGCAAGGCCAGTGGGGCTGATGGGCATGATGGATACGAGGCCAACTCTTTGGACCACGCACAGCAGCCACATCTAACATAAATGTTTGGTGATGGAGCTTCTCAACTATACCTGCAAGATTGCAATACGGTGGGGTGTGTTTCTAGAAATCTGTCATGAACCGACCCCATCTAACATTGAATCTACGTGAAACTGGTGATATATAGCCTTTTGCTACGAAATGACTATGGGTCAATCAGGACTGGATGTGTTATGTCGGGTTCTGGTTCTGGTGATAATAAAATGTCTATCGAGTACGCTGTATATGATTCCCTCGTTAGGCTGATGATTCCAAGAACATACAAAAACGATACTACACAAGAACAATCGAGCATACTGCGATTACAACAATCTTTCTAGTTATATCTTCAAAGAACAAATAATCTGTATTCATTGGACCATCGAGAGGTTTTGTCGGATATACGCTCGATGTAATTTCTTAAAAGAAACAAGATAATATATATATATATATATTTTTCCCCTCAAATTGAAGTGCAATATGCAGATATTTTTCGCCATCCAAGTTATGAATCTTGCATCACATCTTCTCAAGAAGAATTTACCTCTTTCGGACATGACAACTCAAAAAATAGACCAGAACGGATTAATTTTACCAAGTGGGATTGACGGCCAAAATCATGTTCCTGTAAGTTCCCATGAGAACAGTGATACTGCTAATACAAAGGAAGATGCCAATTCTCTTACAATATGCACACAGGATTTTGTTCTATCGACTCAATCAGTTCCTGTTGGAAGTCTGAGAGCGGATATCTTGTTTCCTGGTCTTTCTTTAGTTCCAACAACACACAGCTTTACTGCTACTCTGACAGAACTGTTCTCTAACCAGTTTCTGGCCATCAGAAGATTTTCTTGCTCCTCCGTTTCCAAATCTGTACTGGCCTTTGTATGATACGCTTGTGGTAGGATTGGCAGGAAAGGGTTGCATGGGTTGCTTCAAACCCAATCTGAGGATAGGAACTCAAGTCAGTTATTACTTCTACTGATAGACATGACTGCAACCTTCAAGGTTTCTTCGGCTCACATCAGACTTACTGCCCCCATCACTGTAACAGTAGGCATCAACCCTGAGAAGGTGACGAACCATGTAACTTCAGAAAGAGAGAGAGAGAGAGAGAGAGGAAGAAGAAACCTCAACTCAAACCTAACCACTTGATTGTCAACTTTCTCTCTCACATATACTTTTAAGCTCAGCCCACTTCTTAATTCCAACCCCACCACTGCAACTACAGTTCCTCAACCTCCCACAAATTCTTTCTTCCACTCTCAAAATTCTCCACATCCTAATTCACTAAAGAAACCTTCTTCTTGCGGCAATCGGCCAAATGGGAGGGCACTCCTGCTGCCACAAGCAGAAGCCAAGAAAAGGCCTCTGGTCTCCTGAGGAAGATGAGAAGCTCATCAAGCACATTAACAAGTATGGCCATGGGTGTTGGAGCACTGTCCCTAATCAAGCAGGTATGCTGAAGTGATGATGGCCAGTTGCATGCTTTCCTCTCTGTCTTATGTCCTTCACGTACGCAAGAATTGCCAGGTCTTCAAAGGTGTGGAAAGAGCTGCAGATTGAGGTGGATCAACTACCTGAGGCCTGACCTCAAGAGAGGTACATTCTCACAGCAGGAGGAGGACCTCATCATCGAACTCCATGCAGTCCTGGGAAACAGGTACAAGCAACACCCCTTGTCTTTTCCAACGATGAAGTCCATGTTCTATGAGGGCTCAGTTTAGCTGATGCTTCCATGTCTTTGACTTCATCAGATGGTCAAAGATTGCAGCACATTTGCCGGGGAGGACGGATAACGAGATCAAGAATTTGTGGAATTCCAGCATCAAGAAGAAGCTAACACAGAGAGGTATCGACCCCAGTAGCCACAAGCCACTTGTCAAGGTTGATGGTGGTGATGATGATAAGGTGGCCAGCAACAGCGACAAGAATTCTGACTCCAGCGATCTCCAGTCGGTGATTGATAAGTCCATGGATGAGAGCAGCACCTTGAAGAAAGAAATATTCTTGGACCAGTTCCTCACGAGTTCATCAAGCTGCTGTTCTTCCAATTCAATGGGTTATCTCCCTTTTCCACAGGTAAGCTTTGCTCCTGACTACAGCAGCAGCAGTCAGGCGACTTCCATCACGATCAACTCGAATCCACTCTTCTGGTTGAACTGCAATGCAATATCCACCCCAATCACAACTCTTTCGACTTCCATGGCTCTGCCACCAAGCTATGAAGAAGAAGATGATACAATCCCTGGCTGGTACACTGGCAACCGGAAAAGCGTAAATGATGGTGGTCGCATCATGCTGCAGAGCACTTGCTCCTTCGACAGTGGCGTCTTCTCCTGCTCAGAATTGACATCTGAGAAAGATGTGCAAGCCCACCTCGGAGACGAGATGGAGGACCTCAAATGGTCAGAGTACCTTCACGGTGCATTCCAAAGCCAACCCATGTATGGTGACATCAAGACAGGAAACCAATCCCCCATGAACACTGTGAGTTCTTTGTACCAGAACCAGCAACTGCGGCAGGAGTTGCAAGCTTCAGACATCCATGGCAAGAGGTTCCACTCTGTATCTCTGGGCTTTGAGCATCTATAGATTGGGAAAAGATCAGAACGACAAAAAGGAGTTCTGCTCTCAACAGACAAATCAACTTACAAAGCTTGAGCAGTAAAATTCTTCGAAGTCATAGAGCATGCATACCTTATACTTCTTTTCTCGTTCATCTAGGGCTGATGATATACAAATTCTATCAGCTCTTCATCCTTGCATATTCTGTGGAGCGTCAAAAACAAAAGCTTGTAGTAACCAGTGTCTTTCACTTTATTCTTATATATCCTTGCTTTCATGGCTTTGCAATCACTTGTCTCCAGAATTTCTACCTTGTGTATGCTGAATCTTCCTTGTTCATGTGCCATGGTAACAGTGAGATGCAAAATCTATCAATTCCTATGGCAGTCAACATGGATGTCCACAAAAGTCATCACACAAACTGTATGTAGTTCTAAAGACATGAGTTTTTACTGTCAATTTTTTGTTTGTTCATCTGATAGCTACATGTACACTAATGAAACTGGGTAAGAAGAAGATTAACCAAAGATAGAACTCTTGTGCATTATGTATTCTCCAGCTACATGTACACTAACAAGAAAAGAATCAAAAGAAAGATGATCAAATGTCAGCCTTATTCCTTTACTTTTCCTGCAACAAAAGAACTGTCTCTAACTTGAACTTCCAATCCTTAAAATGGAGATAGCAACTAGATTATGCTAATTATATTAATAAAGTGGTGTTAAATAGATGACAAAACTCGAAGTACTGTCATAAATCATTAGCAAACAAGTATGTGATAACAAAGATGCCAATCTTTTTCATATGACTGCTTGTTATCAACAATCTGGTGAGCATGACTGGTGCAGGGACACCATGATTCATGAAGCTATGAGCATCACTGCTATGAAGAATGAGCAGATGTGTCCTGTAGCATGGATAATAATGTTCCATATCAATCTTTTCACCTCCCTATCTAATGAACAGTGGTGAAGAAATATCCCAGTTGAAACAAAGACATGAAGAATGGAACCTTTGTGACTTCAGAGCAAACAAGGATTTGACTCCTACAGTCTGCAGAAGACAAATTTGATGCATCAGCTTGCCAATCATAGGGAATTCCACGCATCTTATTCTGAAACAAAAAGGGTGTTGCAGAAAAAAAGTCACCCATGTTAAAACAACAGTCAGTAAACCACCATAATTTGGATAGATTAAATGCCTAATTTAGATCGTAAACTTTTCATTAATACAATAGAATATCCAGGGGACTATCCATCAACCATTTGAGACTGTTGATGATATGGCAGGAACATAAAATACAGATACATCCATTGTCATGAACTCAGATGCATTTTTTCTGCATTAATTGATTAGGCAATCATAATTGTCTCAGTTGGCTGAAATTTGTCAAGAAGTAGTAGCAGGAAATTTAGACTGAGTAGGGAAAACATTTATACTAAATAAATAGTCTAAGATCTATTACTCCCTAACTGTTTTTTATACTGCCATGTATATTAGGTGACAGATGAAATGACAATAAACAATAGACACCTTAAGCTCACTAGCACATGAATACATCAATCAATTTGAGAGTTACAATGACAATATTTCTAAGAGTCAAACATCACAGATAGACGGCAGAAATAGCCCAAGCTTCTTTACTATGTATTTTTCACCCCTGACCAACAATTTGAAACTATGCTCAAGTTTGCACAAGTTTCAATGCCTACCAATTATGTGAAGAAGTGAGCGGCTTAAAACTTTCTTTAGTGTGACTCCCTACAAGCAAGTTGTATATATTGATGCATGGTATCACTTCTATTGTGGTTTTCCTTAATAAATTCTCATATAAGGAAGGTAAAAAGGTTTCTTTTGGAAAAATGGGTTACATGTTACCATTTGTAAAGAAGATCAATTTTATTCTCATTCCATTAACCATAATGACAAGCACCTGCAGCTGCTGGACAACATAGTAAAGGGAGTCAATCCATAAAAACTGCAGGGAAAGATGTATAATTTTAAGATCCAATGCCACAATTTTCAACATTTGGTCGATGTATGCCTTGTAACAGATTCGTCTGAATAAAACACATGGAAATTATGCTGATGGACTAACAAGACCTTGAAGAGTGAACGCAGACAGATGATACTCACCAAGAATGAGAAAAACACCTTGACAGGCAATAGGACTGCTGATGTCATAAAATATTCCAGAGAACACATCAAGGTAATTAATGAGGATGATAGTCATTAATAATATCAGCGAAGTCGATCAGAAGGCATACAGATAAACACCTCCAATCACCCAAAGATACCATACTTTCCATCACTCCAATATCCGAGTCTCTGCCTCATTCAAGAAGCACTGAGACAAGAATTAGAAGAGAAGGCCATGAAATTTAAAACATTAACTACCTGTGAGCTTCAAATACTTTATAAATAGTCGGGGAAAGGTCGAAAACAGAAGCGTACAGAATAAATGCTAGTCGATTTGGTCGTCCAATTTTTTATTCATCACTTCTTTGTTTGTAATTAATAAATGTCAAACTAAAGCTTTCTACTCAGTTTGTCACTATCCTGAGACGGATGAGAGGGGATGGCATTAAAATAATTTACTATCTAATCACCTGTGACTCTCACAGAATGCATATCAGGTTGGACATTCCCAGCTGGAAAGAATCCAAATTGAGCCTTGGCCCTTAGCTGATTTAAATGATCAGAAAAGATTGACTAGTGCGGCCAGAATGCAAACTTCCATCCTCAGCCATACACGCTCAGTTGGTATTATCGCCAGAATTGAACCTGTAACATGTATAGGATGGATCTTTGTGAAGGTCCTAGATGACTTAGACATTTACTACTATATCATATAGCTATGAATTGTCGATTTCCAAAAATAGATACACCAGTTTATGCATCAAAACCATCACAAAGACACTTGTGTTTCCAAAAACTACATGGTTGAGCTTTTACTAGAAACAAAAATAGCATGTCCATCTTGGTAACAGCATGAGTCGTATACGCACTGCCCAAACTGCATAATTATAGATCTTCCATCTAATAATGCCCCTTGTTTTCGCCAACTATTTCAGTTCAAATTATCAAAAGAAAGTGTTTCATAACCACGAAAAAAAGGCTTCCTTTAATGAACATTGAGAAATCCTACCACTACGCCCAGTGCAGGTGCTACAAGATTTAACGATTGCTAAGAAGTACTCAGTGATCTTCCATGATTGTAGTTGACGGAGATCCAAGATGCTCCTCAATCTTAAAAGTTCCATGACAAAACTCCGTAGGTAAATAAATATACAATGCAAGCACGTGATTATGCTTCCGATTACCCCAACAAAGACCATATCCCATTTACTCCCAGAAAAATCGAATCTTAATCCTCTCATGCCAGCACTTAAGCATGTATAGATAAACAAGTACAAACTAGCTAAGACGCCAGAAACCTAACCTGCACATCCATCGGATGGATCGAAATGTCATTCCTCCTCCTCGCCATCATCCTCCTCCGTTTGGTCTCCCGAGAACAACCTCGATACGATCGATGAAAGAGTGTCCGCAAGCCCTAGCCCACGTCAAAATTTGGGCGGCCACGCCGGTCCAATTTGAGTCCTATCGAGCGATCTATCAAATCAGACCCGGTTCGGGCTACGATTGCTCGGACTTTGGGTGGGCCCGAGTCATCTTAATTGGACCCGTGTCAAGTCAAGGTCAACATCTATCATAACAGTAGCGCTCGTCACGCCATAAAGGAATACCCCATAGAATCAAAACGCATCTGCCGAGAAGAGCGGCAGTATAAGCGAGAGTTACTTCCTTGATATCTTCGACAATTCCATCACTGTTCCTATTAATTCAACCCCATTTCACAGTAACGCTTGTCAATGCAAAAGTTGCCTTCCCTTCCAACTTCGTCAAAGCTCATCTGCAGCACTTGATGCTCATACCATAGAATCCAAATGAATCTGACATGGAAGGCAGTATCATAATTAGAGAATTACTTCCCTGACATGTTCTGATTCGAACTTATCCTCCAGGATGAACTATCCATTTATGCATGCACTCCATGCCGCTGCTACCACAGTCTTCCTTGGGAAGAAGATGCATACCTGTTTGCACGAGGAAGGAAGGAGTGGTTAGCAGTGTTGGGGTCGGAAAACTTTGGTCGACCGGCCTTCTATTTTTGGTCATCCCTTTCTTGCGTTGGTTTTGGTTATATTAGTTGGCGAGGTGATCTCGATCCTGCCTGTTCTTCCTTTCTGACCTCTCTTTCCCCTACAATTACTCGCCACCGCATTCCTTCCCTCGTGGTATATATAGAGATGGTATTATAGTCCCAGGGATTCATTGCATCTTTCCTCGAGTTTCTCTCTTGAAACCTTTACGCCTTCGGCATCCTTCCTCCTCCTCCTCTGTCTCTGTCGAAGATAGGCATGTTGAAGATTGTATCACTGTGAATTATTCTGTAGCACCGCATTGCACTACTGTTCTAATGGAATTCTTCTTCTTCTTCAGGGGGGAAGAGGGTAAAATAGAGACGGAGGGGTGGTTGAGAAGGTTGGAATGGCGACGGTGGCGCCGAACACGACTGCGGCAGCGACGACGTGCAAGCCGCCGATGAAGGCGACGTCGAACGGGTCGTGGCAGGGCGACAACCCACTGGACTATGCGCTGCCGTTGGCCATTGTCCAGATCTGCTTGGTGATCACTGTCACGAGATTCCTCGCCTTCGTCCTGCGACCCCTTCGCCAGCCGCGCGTCATCGCCGAGATCATCGTACGTGCTCCTCGGTCTCTTCTCCTCCTTCGCTTGGTTGGATTTCTCCGTTGGGATGGTGGAGATGAAACGTTGTCGACATCACGTTGTGTCGCATGATGTGTTGCAGGGCGGGATATTGCTGGGCCCGTCGGCGCTGGGGCGCAGCGAGGCGTTCCTCAACACGGTGTTTCCGAAGCAGAGCCTGACGGTGCTCGACACCCTCGCCAACATCGGCCTTCTCTTCTTCCTCTTCCTGGTGGGGCTGGAGCTAGACATTCGCGCCATCCGCCGCACCGGGAAGCGCGCCCTGGGCATTGCCGTCGCTGGCATCTCCCTCCCCTTCATCATGGGCATCGGCACCTCTGTCGTCCTCCGCCACACCGTCTCCAAGGGCGTCCGCGCTGGCCCCTTTCTAGTCTTCATGGGCGTCGCCCTCTCCATCACCGCCTTCCCCGTCCTCGCCCGCATCCTCGCCGAGCTCAAGCTCCTCACTACCGACCTCGGCCGCATGGCCATGTCCGCTGCAGCCGTCAACGACGTCGCAGCCTGGATCCTCCTCGCTCTCGCCATCGCCCTGACAGGCTCAGGATCCCCCCTCATCTCCCTTTGGGTCCTCCTCACCGGCGTCGGCTTCGTCGTCTTTGTCGCCCTCCTAGTCCGCCCCGTTCTCGACTGGATGGCCCGCCGCTCCCCGGTAGGCGAGCCCGTCAAGGAGATCTACATCTGCGCGACGCTCGCCACCGTCCTCGCGGCCGGCTTCGTCACCGACACCATTGGCATTCACGCCCTGTTCGGCGCCTTCATCATCGGCATCGTCGTTCCCAAGGACGGGCCCTTCGCCGGGGTCCTTATTGAGAAGATCGAGGACCTCATCGCTGGGCTCTTCCTTCCGCTCTACTTCGTTTCTAGCGGCCTCAAGACCAACGTGGCCACCATCCGCGGCGGCCAGTCGTGGGCTCTACTCGTTCTCGTCATTTGCACCGCGAGCTTCGGCAAGATCGGCGGCACCCTCGTCGTCTCCCTGCTTGTCAAGGTTCCCATGAGAGAAGCCCTTACGCTGGGCATCCTCATGAACACCAAGGGCCTCGTCGAGCTCATCGTCCTCAACATCGGCAAGGATCGAAAAGTACGTAAGACTTCTCCTCCCTCTCTCTCTCTCTCTCTCTCTCTCTGACTTAAGCACCGTACTCGTATCGTTTGACCGAGACGGAAGTGACAGGTGCTCAACGACGAGACGTTCGCCATACTGGTGCTGATGGCCCTGTTCACCACTTTCATCACCACGCCCATAGTGATGGCCGTCTACAAGCCCGCACGTCGTTCCCCGCCGTACAAGCACCGCAGCATCCTGCGCGACGACGCAGAGAGCGAGTTCCGCATCCTGGCCTGCTTCCACGGCAGCCGAAACATCCCCACCATGATCAACTTGATCGAGTCCTCCCGTGGCACTCGGCGCCGCGGCATCACTGTCTACGCCGTGCACCTGATGGAGCTGTCGGAGCGGTCGTCCGCCATCTCCATGGTCCACAAGGCCCGGCGCAACGGCCTCCCCTTCTGGAACAAGAAGCAGTGCTACGAGGACGGCGGCGACCAGCTCGTGGTCGCCTTCCAGGCCTACCAGCAACTCAGCAACGTCACCGTCCGCTCCATGACTGCCATCTCCGACCTCCAAACGATCCACGAGGACATCATAACGAGCGCCGAGCAGAAGCGAACCTCCTTCATCCTCCTCCCTTTCCACAAGCTCCAGCAGATCGATGGTTCAATGGAGTCGATCGGCCACGCCTACCACCTCGTCAACCAGCGTGTCCTCCGCTGTGCCCCGTGCTCCGTCGGCATCCTTGTGGACCGCGGGCTCGGTGGCGCAGCTCAGGTTGTTGCCAGCGAAGTGTTCTACACGGTGGCGGTCCTCTTCTTCGGGGGCAGGGATGACCGGGAGGCCCTCGCCCTCGGGATGCGCATGGCGGAGCACCCAGGGATCCAGCTCACCGTCACGCGGTTCATTCCCCAAGCGGATCAGTTGAGGGGCCGCGACGGAGGAGGGAGCGTGACCATAAGGATGGATGCGAACGAGATCGCCGCCGACGAGGACTACATCACCGTGTTCCGCGACAAGGTGTTGCCCTCCAACGAGTCCATCACGTACGACGATAAGGTGGCGGGAGGAAAGGCCGAGATCGTTGCTGCGATCAAGGACATGGGGCGGTGCAACCTGTTCCTGGTAGGTCAAGCGCCTGCCACCGTAGCTTTGACTGACAAGAATGACTGCCCTGAGCTGGGGCCGGTCGGGAGCTATTTGGCTTCGTCCGAGTTCGGCACGACATCGTCGGTGTTGGTAATCAAGCAGTTCGATCCGACGGCAAACCCACCACAGCAGGCTGACGAGGGGCTGCTGACGTCCGACTTGCCCGATACTCCCGTGGCTGGAAGCGCCCGCCATTAAACTCGATCTCGGTACGGCTCTTTCGAAGCTTATAATAAGCGTATTAACAATGGATGTATCATAGAGAAGCGAAGAAGAAGAAGAAGAATTCACTTCAATCATATCTGAAAAGAAATATGTGAATGAGATAAAAACAAAATTAAATGAAAAAATAGGATCGGATGAATAAAGGGGATGCATTATTAACTCGATTTGTTGAGTTGCATTATTAATATGCTTACATTGATTGATTGACGCATACATAACCCAACCACGTTATAACCTATACAAAAGATGGCATCCACCACTCCCGACGATGATGACGACATGAGAAGAGGATGTCATTCGAGCATAGGGATCGTTTGATACGCATCATGCTTTTTTCTTTTTCTAGGATGTCATTAATTGCCTTTAGCTAAAGTGTTGTTCTTATTTAGGATAAAGAAGATATGACCTAAAGTAAGCTGAGGATGAGTTTGTTTTATTTAATGATTTTCTTTAATTCCTTTAATTTATATTTTTCAGTTATAGCTATGTGTCAATAAATTATAACCTATATAAATTATATCATTTATCTTCTAGATAATAAAAGAATTTTGACAGATAAATATCTCAACAACATAATAACCTATTAGACATGTAGTCAGGTCGATGCGTTCATCAAACATCACACCCATGTTAGCATTAGCTCGACACTATTTTTGATATACGATCATCTCGACACATTAATCGGATAGTCCCACATAATATGTGGTAACTATAATGTAAGGATTCGACAAACATTTACATGATCCATAATGACATACTGAGCCTATATAATTATCTAAATAAAATAATTCATCATTAAATTTTGTCGATTGCGCGAGCTCCTTACAAAAATGTGTCGAATAATTTGGTAATATAATATTTTTTATTATCGAATTTATAAATATTATACTAGCATAATTTTATATGGAATCCTACTAAACCACCTTATTCTCAATTCCACAATGTGTATAACATAAATTTTAAGTTACATTAATAAGCTTTAAGTTGCATCGATCACTATTTGTTTCACTAAAAATACAAGGCAATATTAAATATATAATATGCATATTATAAGCTTAATTTCATTGTATACATACATAAATCAAAATAATATGATTTACTTTACCCAAAGAGATGTTATTTGTTGCCAAACTCGAAAGGATTCGACCTAATGAGAAATTTCCACTTCTATCTAATAGAGAGCAGTAGTGCTTTGTCCATAATCTTATATAATTATGAAATGGTTATTGTATTAGGTCAAATATTTCCATTCAAAATTGGATGTCAAAGTGAGAAGGGCCCTCTCTTTATAGTGATTTAGCATGGATGTCAAGTTGAGGAAGACCTTCGGAATATTATGGTCGAAATTTGAGGGCCACATATCATAACAAAATAGAATATGTACCATATCATAAACATCTTTTTATAATATGCGTATATTTAACTCTATAAAGACTCAAAATATGATTTTTCTTGTTAAATATCAACTACATGCTTTGCATTTGTTTTAGTTGAATGGTGATCTTACTCTATTTAAAATGGCTTTGGTTTTATGATAGAATATAGAACTATTGATTTTGATTTTTCAAACTCAAGAACTAGAATCATGGTTATAGAACCAAAATCGCAAGTTAATTTTTAGTATTTTTAGTTAAAAATAATATTAAAAAATATATAATATTATTTTAAAATTTAAAAGCCAGATACATAACTATAATGAGTGTAATAATACAAAAAAATTATAAAAATAATTAAATAAATAATACTATTAAGATTTGAACATAAGTTTCTTAGGTTTAAAACCAACCATTTAATCATTATATTATTAGTACATTAACTTTTATAAATATTTATCATACTTAATTAGTTTAAAACCGAGGAATCGAAAATCGATTTCGGTTCAAAACAAATCGATTATTTGATTTTTGGTTTGAATCGTGATCACGACTATACAATCCAATACATAATATTACCTTCCTCGTTGATTAATTTTAATAACTATGTTAAGTTTAGTTCAACTAATTATTATATGATATGACCCGATTAAACGATCAAATTATCAAAAAGAAATAGCCTTCATGGGAAAAACAATTTATAGAAAACACTAAAAGGAGGAGGACATGGAAAATAATCCTATTAATGAAAGCATCATTCCTTGCTTTCCAAATTAATCATATGCTAAGTTGCAATAAAACCCCTAAGAATAGAGCAGCAATACATCCTCTTCTCTTCTCTCCGCTTCTCTGGAGCCAATTTTGAGAGCAATATAAATCAAAATAATTATAAAAGAAATTCCAAATAATTTTAGAAATATTACATCAAACCAATAATTCAGGGCTTCGCTCGCAATGATATCATTCATGTCCATCGCAAGTATCTTGCAAGCCTCTCTACAGTGGAAAAGATGAGTTTTCAACAAAAACAAAATACATAGATAATAGCTTCCCCAACTATTAATTATTATGGTCTCTCACAAATAAAGTTGTAAGATATGATTGGCATCTTTATAAAAAATTATCTAAATTATTTAATTTTTTTTTTAAATATTTGATAAGTGAGTATGATATACTTAATATTTTATAATGTGTTGATCCGTATTTTTCACTTCAAAATTAATGTGAAACGTATTCAAAATTGGGAAACGAATAAAAATACGTCTAAAGACGCATCGAGAAAACTATTAATACATACAGACAGAGAGAGAGAGGAATCCCATTCGCCGTTACCTGCGCGTCGCGGAACTCCTTGCCGGTCCAACGAAGTCTACCACAAGAAGCTGAATTCAAGCAAAGAGGAGATATATTAGGGCGCAGGCGGTGCTCACGGCCTCGTTCCGCTGTCTCCTTCCCGCTTTCTTCTCCTCATTTACCCGCCTCTCGCCATGGCCGATTCTGCCTCTGACGATTTGGACCCGCTCCTCGACAGTAATCCCTCGCGCTCGCTCGCTCGCACGCACGCACGCATCTCGGTGTCTCGATTCCTTTTTGTGTTTGATTCCGTCTATCTTCTTTGTTTTAGGCGCTTTGGACGATTTCTCGAAGCTCGGTCTCGCTCCGGCCGCCCAGAGGTCCGCTTCTCCCCCGTCCGTAACCCTTGCTCATCTGAATCGGTTCTTGGATTCGTTTATGGTGTTATTGTTGTTTGCTATGTTTCGATGATCGATAGGAGCGATGGTGATGGAGACGACGGAGAGGGAAGGGCTACGTTGCCGTCGATGGCTTCGGCTCCGCGGGTGCAGGGACTGGGGATGGGATTGCCGGACTTGGGCGGCGCGAGGACGAAGGCCCAGCAGAGGGCCCGGCCCGGTGGGTCCCACGCCTCCGAGGCGCTCGAGAAGCTGACGCAGCTGACGCGTGAGGCGGTGAGGGGCCTGGAGTCCGCCACGGGGGCCGCCGTCCCCAGAGGCGGCGATGCTGGGTTTGATGAGGACAGGATGGTCGGCGAGTTAGTCAAGCAGTTTGAGGAGCTCGCAGGCTCGCAGGTATGCCTTCTTCTTCGATTGTGTTTGTTTCCTGTCCAAGTAAATTCTAGTTGTTTGATTGTATGGAGATTTAGAATCTTGTTATCGCTCTCTTATGATGTTAAAGTAGCATGTATTGTAGGGAAATAGTTTGGTTGGCTGTTCTTCTTTCTTATATGAATGAAGCTTAAGTTTCATCAGAATGGATTTCCTCGGACCTTGTTTCGTGGGTACACCAAATTATCAGTCATTGTTTAACAGGATTGGTTCCAGTCCTCAGTCAAGCTATGATAAAGTCATATAACAGGTTTAAAATGGTTGTAATGCTTAAAATAAGATGCAAGTCTTTTGGCTGTCTACCATTGGGCCAGTTGAAAATTTATTAAGACCTTATGATTTATAGATACAAAACTTAATAGGAAAAAACAGAAACATGAAAGATTGTAAACTCTGCAAGGGAGCATATGGATCATATTGGTATTGGTGTTCCACTTTTTTCATATAAGAAGCTTTTTAGATGTTTGGTCAGAATTATATATAGATTACTGTTGAGAACCATATATAAATTACTGTGTAAAGATGGAGGGTTGGACACATCATTGAGACTGAACTTGGACATAGATGTTATATGTAAAAGGGAGCTAGTGGCTACATTTGAAAGACTTACATTGATCACATCTCATGTTCACAAACAAAGTATAAATATAAAATCCATAAGTGAATTTTGCATTTGATGATATAAAGGGCTCTTGCGATTTGACTATTAACATAATTTTTCGAAGAATTAATCTGTAAAGGAGTAGAACCAATGGGTGCTTTGAACTTCCTTTTGAAATCATTTGATGGGAATGAAGTCGTAGAAATTTCTTAATTCTTGTGTGGTTCCGTTCAGGAACCAGTTAGCAAAAGCTGGCACATGATGTAACTGGCAGAGGAAGGCTTTTTTTTGAGTTGTTATGTCTTGGATTCTTTGAATTCGGTATTTTAGGAACTCATGCACCTTTATTTTTTTTGAAGTATTTGTCTTGGATTATTGGAAGCCAGTTTAAGAAAGTGTTGATTGACTGATTAATTGCTTGGTCAAATTTGGAACATAGAATACTATATCGATGATTTTTTTATTTGATCGAATGCTCAGCACAGAATGGTACAAGTTACCAGTTAGAGGGGGGTTCCCTGATTTGAAGGTCTAATGCTACTAATACAGTTAATAGTGCTTTGTATCTAGGTCCAAAAATTTTAATCTGGAGACTTAAATTTACTAAAAAACCAGAGTGAATAATCTGATTGCATGGAAGCTCTTTAGGATTTGCAATGGTTATATTGGGCTAGGTATATCAGCCATTTTTTTGCTCAGTGTATAGATAACTTGATGCCTTTAGCTATATGGCAGTAGTCACCCTTTAATCGTGATTGATATTGTTTTGATGCCATCATACCCAAGGGTCAAATTGTGCACTGTTATAAATTATAAGTAGCAGCTACTTCAGTGGTCATGGTAGCCACTATAGTAGTTAATTGTGTTTGGTACTATCCCATGCGTGTTCGTGAAACTACTATTTATGTTACTGTAGCAGGTCCTTTAAACCCAACAGCCCTTTCAAGCAACAGATTGTATAAACTGGTTACAGGAAGGGCTCAAGTTGACTCAAGTTAAATTTTAGATCCCTTTTTTTTGTCCAATGTTGAGATATGAGAAATTTAAATTCTATTTATATACCCTAACTTGTCTTGAGTGAACATCAATATCACTGTTTTGCTCCACTTGAACTGTTCTTTGGCTCTCTATTTTTTTATCATTAACAGTCTTGTCCTTTGTCACTTTCTTTCTCTCTCCTGTTGTCTTTCTTTCTCATTCTCTCTCTCTCTCTCTCTCTCTCTCTCTCTTTATTTCTCTCTCTGTATCTATATATGCAGCATTTTGATTTTTTTTTGATATTTTATTTTATTTTTATATTGTACATAATATACAGTTCATAAGACTATATATGAATTTTGATTTTCATATCTTAGTCATTGTAAACTACTAGACATCTTTTGGTTGTCTTAACTTTGGTTTTATATTAATGGTCCACTATTACTTGATGGAGACTTTGACACCTCAGATTAGTCCTACAATGAAAGTGGGAGGTGCTTTGAGTTGGTTTATAGGGATAGATAGGTCTAGTGGTCTACCATTATTAACTTGATCTTAGGTAATTGGGGCCAGTGGTTTAGAACTGTCTTTGTGCAACACACTATCCTAGTGATAACATGAAAAATAAACTTATCATCAGGGATGGGATAAATCTGTCTACCCCATATATATTGTATTGAAACTGCCTTTTGTGTGTGATATAAGCAATAGGCTCGACAATCAAGGTCCTTATAACCCTGACATTTGCATAATTATGCACTTTATAGTTCTGTTAGGACGTTGATTTGGTGACTTGCATTTATCCGGGACTGATAACTGCATCAGTTGTAAGAAAGTTTTTCATCTTTGTCCTACACAAGGAACAATGCATTTTTTTTTTCTTCTTGGTCATATTAGGTTTTCATTTCGGCCCTTTTTTTTGGGCAAAATTCCTTTGGTTTCCTAGTCATTTCAGATTTTCGTTTCTGCCTTTTTTTTGCAACATTCCTTGGGTTTCCTAATGTTTCATTTGATGGCTTATTGGCTGGGAAGACGTTAAACATAACTCATATTTTCATCTTTTCTGTATAGGATGTGGAATCTATTGTTGAAACTCTTATGCAACAGCTTTTGTCTAAAGAAATTCTGCATGAGCCCATGAGGGAAATTGGAGAAAGATATCCAAAGTGGTTGGAAGAGCACAAAAATGATCTGAACCCGGAAGAATATGACTGCTATTATCGCCAATATGAGCTTATATTGAAGCTAAATGATGTTTATGAAAATGACCCTGAAAACTTCTCCAAGATTGTTGATCTCATGCAGACTATACAGGAATGTGGTCAACCACCCAGTGATATTGTACAAGAACTTGCTCCTGATCTTGATCTAAGCAACTTTGGCCAATTGTGAGTTCACTGTTTTACTTCTTTTGTTATGCCTAATTATTTATTGTCTCATAAGAATCAAATTTCCTCTTAATCTCCATAACAATTTGTTGAACTTGGCGAGCTGAGAAGTTGTGATAGATATAGCTCCAATATTGTTCCTGGTCATCGGCCAGGCTACTCTATGTGTCAGGATGGGTTGGTACTCCAACCTATTGAAGAAAGGCAACAGAGAGACACTACAGATAAAATTGTTGGAGAATAACTGCTTGATTTGGTTGTGGCAGAGGGAAGGCAAGGATGCTGTCAGAGCAGTCAATGACAAAGCGACGTTCTTGTTGGTGGAGATGATGACACATAGAAAGGGAAGCAAGGGTTGCTAAGGGTGAGGAGGTGCCACTCTTGCTAACAACCCAGCGGTAGGCGTAGCTGGCTTTGCTAGCATAGTAGATTCCTTATGCTCGATGGAGCATGATATGGCCTTAAGGGTGAGTGCCTCACCGATTTAGGTGATGTAACGAGGAAGAATTCTTGGAGCCTCATTGAGTTTTTTATGGAGGAGGGAGGGATATGCCTATTAAATAGATTAAAAAATCCACATTTGTTCTCTTTTTCTCCATGACAGAATCTGCATCATATTTAAAAAATAAAAACAAAAACAGGAACAGAACAAGTAGGTAAGTACCAGTATAGCTTGGTGTTAGCTTGTGTTGAATTGGACCAAGCCAAAATGCACCGTCTGAGTAGGCGGATTGGTTGGCCATTAGACCAGTAAATAACCGTCCATATAGGCTAGTAAAGGACACTTGATTCCTTGGGTATGTGTGCATGTACCTGTATACGAGGCATGCTTATGTGTATATATCTCTGTGTATATAAATGGACTTTTCTCCATTAATTTTTTCTCTATAATTCGAAAATGGGATGCAACATATTTATTATTTAAATCTTAACCCTGATTTGTTTTGGAACACTTGAGCTGATCCAGAAACGTGAGTTCCTACAAATGTATACACTTTGAACATGACCTAAACCTGCTAAATTCTTACTTACATGTACATGAATTTGAAAATTAGGTCTCTATTAGTCTTCTCTTCCTGCAACCAAGAAGTGATGTCACACTACATTACATTTTATTTAAGTTATTCTTTTTCTTCAGTAAAAGAGGTAAAGGCCATCAAGCTGTAGATTGTGTCTAGTTTGCTAGATTTAGATAAAAGATGGTGGCAATGACACAATGACATTTGAGAAGGCCTTCTGGAAGATGCTGAACCATTCGCTTCTCCATGTTTTAGAACTTTCAAATTAGGCCATTGTTCTTGGAGATGACTACTGCTCAAAGTTCAAAAACTGAGTCAGGTTGAGATTGGACATCCAGAAAAATTATGATTGGGTTCCATTGAATTGGGTGGTTCAGATTAGGGTTTCTGGTTTGAGTGAAAAATTGGCTTGAAATATGAGACCTGAAATTTGCAGAAAAAGGTCAGGTTACTTGTCATTGAGCCTTTATACACTCAACTTATGCAATTGCCTCTTCATCATACACTTGTGCTTGATTTGCTGCATCCAAGTCTCTGATCTAAACTTGTTTTATGATGTTTCATGCTCATCTCACACAGGATGGCTACAGTTAAACATCTTATCTTTCTTCTACTTTTGTATCATGGGATTATTAATATTTCCTTTGAAGCTTAAGTTTTCTGATTCTAACTTTTTATTCTTTTTGGTCACTGCTGCAGTTCCCCTGATCAACTCGATGCCACATCCGATTGTTGTATAATGTGAGAACGGAGAGGGGCATTTTTTTACAATATGACAAATAATTAGCTGGTTTCTTCTTCCCCTAATATGTTAACAATGAGTTATTTCTTGTCAGTTTTTTCTCTGATTCTTTGCTGTGAAAGACGTTTAATAGCCAATATATGAAGAATATTGTATTTCCAAACTTTGCAAGGATATATATGTAACTCTTGAAGTTTAAGCATACGATGATAGTGAAGTTGGGAATAGTTCAAAGATGTTCATGTTTGAATTATCTTATTTTCGAAGTATATTGGAAGAAATGACATGGCTATGCAATTTAAGTTAGCTCAATCTTCATGAATAACTCAGACTCGAGCTTATGTTTGACTCGGGCTCGTGTTGTTTGAGATTAACAAAATTCTGTCAAAAATAAGCTTACTTTTTCTTTTGTTTTCTTTATATATGATAACTTTGGGCTCGCCTTATGGGCATGTGTATTAATATGTCGGAAATTTATGATTTTGTATTTATTGTCATAAATTCAGCATACGAAGCTTTAAGTTGCATGTATCCCTTTGCCGAAATCTCTATCAGTTTATTGTCAATTTACCATGAAGATATTAGAATCTTTTTAAAACTCGTTAACGCAATATTATTATTGGGCTATTTTACATTTTTATATGATTTTATAAATTTAAAGTAGCCATATTAAAAGGTGGGATATATGCGAAAAGCCTTTGTATTTTTTGGGATGTATTCGTTTTACTAGAATCTTTACTGTAAAAATTGGGTTAATTATATGAACTTAGACTTTTTTAGTATTTCCGTCTTTAGATTTAAATTTTTTTTATAGTTATAAAAGTAAAATATTTAACCTCATTTATCATAATATTGTTGGTTTCATCGACGAAAGATACAACACGTGATAGTACGTGCATGAATGGTGATTCAACTAGAATTGGAAACTGGTTTAATTAAATTTTCACGGTAGATTTCTTCTCGAACTATCGAATCTATATCTTTAGAATATGAATCTATATCTTTTTAATGGAATTAAGGAATTGACTTAGAAACTCACTTCTCAACTCCCATTAGCTCTTCAAAGTAAATAAGAGATTATTACCTTATTACAGTGAAAGCTCCATCTTCCGCTTCAACGGATCTTGTTACAGCGTGCTTAAAAGAAAGCATTTACTTGATTATGGCTAGACTTTTCACTTTAATTGATCCTCTTTCTTGCTCGCATTAGCGGTTCGACAATTGCATTATGTGCCAAGTAATTACTCCTGTACTTGATTTAGTTACCAATCTCGACCACTACTATACTCGGTTAAGGCTTTCAATAAGGCTATTCTCATTGTTTCACCTATGTTCCACTCATTTTATAATCAATTCCTTATCTTGGCTCCGAAAGGATGTCCAAATATATTTCATGCTTATAATCCAAAAGGATGTCTCAGTACATTTCACACGCTTATAATCAATCTTTGCGTTCTTCCTAAGATAGCTCCATTCTCTTCTTTTGACTTTTCGGGTACTAGGGTGCCTATAGCTAACTTACTTTGGGATGTCAATATTCAATTCTTTCTTTCTTTGCAGAGTAAGGTTCCACTATCTCTTTTTATTCAACAAGCAAATCCATCCATTCCAGAAGTAAACGACTGCTTCATCTCGGCTTGGCTTCTTAATACGATGAAACTCATTCAATGAACTTCCTCCCTCGATTGTAAACTTTGTCTCTGGGTGGGGTGGCAAAGGAGTACGCTCAAGTTTCTATACTAACCTAGTAACGCTAGATTCCATTTTTTAATTCCACTCACTATCCCGTACGCACAGAATGAGATTGAACTGACACTATACTATCAACTCTCAATTGTCTTCTTGTTAGCGCACGACATCTTGCCCGAACCTATCCTCTTGAGCACCCTGCAACAATACCACCAACATAAGCACGACAATAACCTCTTGAGCACTCTGCAATAATACCACTAGCTCCAATTGGACAATAACCTCTTTACACTTAAATAAAACTACAAGCAGCTAGAGCAGAACAATCAATTGATGACTTTCTCACTTAGCGTGCATATATAGAGTTAGGGAGCTTATTAAGACACACCTCTAGTCGATAACACCTTTAGAACAACACAATCTTATCACACACACGTCACTTGTTGATTGTCTTATTGAGATTATGGGCATAAGAAGGAGAAGGCTCATAAGCTAGATTAGGATCATAAGCTTTAGCAGGAGCATAAGCAAGAGAACTAATGTAAAGGACTTAAAAGAGCGCTTGAACTTGTTAATTATTAAAGGACGACAACTCTCCTCACATGCCAAGTAAGGGTAAGCTAATATGCAACGGTGAACTCAACTCTTAAATCATCATTTCATTCAAAAGGAAAGGTGAGCTCCGTTAGCGCAAAATTCAAATAATCTCTCTTTCTAATGCGCATATCTAATAGGAATCTCTGCTACTGGCCCTGATGATGCACATTTTACCTTGAAAGATAACATTCCCTGAACCTATACTGCCTTACTCTTGCTTGTTGAAGATAGGCACCATGACCTTGTTTCTTCCCCTGTATTGCTTGTAACATTAGGAACTTGCCTAATGCTTGCTCTAACTTTTATACATACAATAAAAATATATTTAAAGGGCAGTAGCATAGTCCAAATGATGGATATGCTATTAGCAGTGTAACACGAAGCTTCAACTTAGAGAAATCTGGATATTAGCTATTAACAAACAGGGTAAGACAGCTTTAACAACGAAAAATCTGCCTGCCTTCTTTAGCCTTAATCGAGTCCACTTCTCTTACCACTTATGATCCAGTGATGATTTTATTTTAGATCCCGATCCTAATCTCCTTGATGAACTGTTTGCTATTGAGATTCCTTGTGCCTTTGATTCTCTCTCTCTGATGTCGCCAACACCTTTCTTTTCTATGACTTCCTCCCCCTCAATTGAGTTTGGGCCTGATCCCTACTATATCTTTTGATCTTTATTAGAATCTAAAGCTTTCAATTCTACTGATTATCCTACTTATTCTCTTTTCTTAGCACTTCACTCATTAGTTATATTTTGTTTTTGAATCACCTATCACAAAACCTAGTAAATATACTCCTCTTGAGTCTTTACCTTCTTCCTCACCTTACTCTTCTTTTTCAACTCAAAAGTGAGAATGGAGAGAGGGAGCCCTAGATAGTTACTTCTTCTATTACACCCCTACCATCAATTCTTCTTTTCTACCCTCGGATTCTATTTATGACTGTAACTTAACCTCCCTCAAAACAAAGAGTACTGGAGGGTTGGGCAAGGAAGAGAACTATTTAGTTATTGATTCAATCTCTATATGATATGTGTTAGTACGTACCTTGTTAGTTTGAATTCATACTTTTGAGTGGAGAGCAAAGTGACCCTCTTCTGGTTAGTTGCTATATCTATTATTCAGATCTTTCTCCTTCTTCTGGTCCTATAATAGATACGGCATATGGAACTTCTATTTAATGAAACTATCTTGTTTGAGCGTGAGCACCTACTCAATCACTCCTTAGTGTCGATGATGTAACTCTACTTGAAGACAAAAATGAAACCAATGGACAAAAAGATAATTTTAATAACGGTGATACACAATGGCATTGTAGGTGGTTGTTGTTATAGTGGTTGACGACAACGATGTGATGATCATCCTTGTCGATGTCGATCCAAACATCGATGATAATGAGGAAGAGGAGGCAAAGCTGTGAGGAATCTATGTCAATGTTAGAGGAGGAAGAGGAGGGAGGTGAGGCATCTGCATCAGTATCGCTCTGCTCTACCTCCTCTTTCTCCTCTGACGTCACTCTACATTTTCATCGATTCCTGGGGAGGAAGAGGAGG